ACCACCACCACCACCACCACACACACACCACCACCACCACACCATCACTACACACCACCACCACACCACCACCATACCACCACCACCACCACCACCACCACCACCACTGTTCAAAACATTGCCCAAGGTGGCGTGCCTATGTCCCAATCTGTTCATATCACCTGCATACACATGTCATTATACACGCGCGTGTGTGTGTGCATGTGTGTGTTCAATAGAGATATGCTATGCTGTGTGAGTCTAAAGTAAGACAATATCTTATTCAAATGTGGCACAATACATTCCCCTCACTTAGATTATATGTAAACCTCACTGATTACAACTCTCTCTCTCTCTCTCTCTCTCTCTTTCACTGAATCTACCCCAGCAATCTTGCAATTTCGGAGATGGGTACGGCTCCGTCACGTCATCAACTACTCGATCAATCCTCCCTATAGCTCAGATGTGACGTAACACGGACGTCACCAATCACATTCAATACAGCATCACAGATTCCTCGATCAACTCATTCCTAAACTCCAGATGTTGACGTAACACGGACGTCCACCAATCACATTCGTAACGTCACAAGATTCCTCAATCAACTCATTCTAAGCTGAGATGTGACATAACACAGACGTCCACCAATCACATTCAGTAACGTCACAAGATTCTCGATCAACTCATTCTAAGCTGAGATGTGACGCACAGACGTCCACCAATCTCACATTCAGTAACGTCACAAGATTCCTCGATCAGCTCATTTATTCCTAAGCTGAGATGTGACGTAACACGAACGTCCACCAATCACATTCGAGTAACGTCACAAGATTCCTCGATCAACTCATTCTAGCTGAATAGCGAAGAAAATATCTTACGGACGATCCACCAAATCATTCAATAACGTCACAAGATTCCTCGATCAACTCATTCCTAGCTGGGTCTTGATAACACGGACGTCCACCAATCACATTCAGTAACGTCACAGATTCACTCGATCAACTCATTCCCTGAAAGCTGAGATGTGACATAACACAGACGGCCATCAAACAAATCTATGGACCGAACCCTGTGTGTTGTCGGATTCTGAATTCACTTAGTCTCAAGGTTATGAATGACAGAGGCCTTCTTTTTCTGGTGGGTGTGCTGTACGGAAAGCTCAGATTCGCCTAACAGAGGCGAAGTAGGCACTGATGAATTATTGTGTCCATAATTTAGCTTCAGATTCACGAGTCTGAATCTCTTGAGGTTCGTGTGGTTCAGGAGAGGAGAGAGCCGGAAAGGCGGGTGAAAGCATGCAGTGCCTGGTTAAACTCCCACATCTGGTCCTAGAATTGCTCATAATATGGTTCATATCTCACAAAAGTTACCCAAGTGGGCTTTCAGCCCTCCAGTCTCACCCCTCACCTCCAGTCTCATCCCTCCACCTCTCATCTCATCCCCTCACCTGTTATTGGTGGTCTCGTGGCAGAGATTGTGGGGAGGAGGAGGTGTGTGGTGTGGGGAGAGGAGTGTGTGTGAGAGGTGTGGGGAGGAGGGGAGGGTGTGTAGGGTGTGTGGGGGCGTGGGGAGGGAGGAGGGGAGGGTGTGAGGGTGTGGGGTGCAGGGCGTGGGGGGAGGGAGGGAGGGTGTGGGGTGTGAGGGCGTGGGGGAGGGGGAGGGTGTGAGGGGCGTGGGGAGGGGAGGGGAGGGAAGGTGTGAGGGCGTGGGGAGGGAGGGACAGAGGGAGGGTGTGTGAGGGGTGCGGAGGAGGAGGGAGGAGGGAGGGTGTGAGGGGGCGTGTGTGGGGGAGGGAGGGAAGGTGTGAGGGTGTGGGGAGAGGGGAGGGAGGGAGGGTGTGTGAGAGGGGTGTGGGGGAGGAGGGAGGGGAGGTGTGAGGGCGTGGGGAGGGGGAGGGAGGGGGGAGGGTGTGGGGGCGTGGGGGAGGGGAGGGAGGGAGGGGTGTGGAGTGTGTGTGGGGGAGGAGGGAGGGTTCAGTGCAACCCGACACGCTGCGTTTATGTGATGCTTCCCTTGGGGAAATCTTGTGGGGAGGATCTGAGAGTGGACAGCTTGTCAGCCAATCACCTCCAGGAAGAACTCAATACAACCATCTCCAATACCATAAATAAAGCCCTGGCTATGACATCACCAGGGATCCTCAGCCCGCATAAACAACCGGCCATGCAGGGGAAGCAGGAACCACAATGACGAACGCTTAGGGCCACTATTGCCTAACACCGAAACAAGGAAAAACCCCGCCGTCCCACCTAAACTACAAGACGGAACTCCTTCCCTCCAAGTACAGAAAAATCCTAGAAAATCATCTATAATACCGTCTGAGAAATCACCAGGAAAAACCAGCAAGAGTCAACTGTAGACAACTTCTGTAGACAATTCGGGTTCCAGAGCCGCGGCGGAAGTGGTAGACAATGTAATCTAACTCTCGGGATGGCAGGTATTTGACAAAAGTCTGGCATGACTGATCTCTAAAAATATAAGATCCTCAACTCAGACTTCCCGTCAACGCATTGGCTTCTTTGCATCTTTCTTAGCCAGAAATACCAGACTGAGGGTAGAGACCGCAAGACACAGGAGAGACCTTCCCACTCATGACAGGAGTCCCTCAGAGACAACGTCCTCTCAACCCTACTCCTGTGGCTCCAAGTGACACATCCTGCCTCCTTCTAGAATCAGAGCAAGATGTTGTATACAGATGAAACACATAACTCAACAACACATAAAGAAAAATCAAGCACTCAATTAGACAACACCAAGCGGGACATAGAACGGGTAAAATAACACGAAAAACAATGGTAAATCCAAACAAGTCTCCAAATTCACAGTGATATCCTTATGCAGAAGGAAAGCCCATCTATTAGTAACCAATAATGCCCAGATACAAAAAAAAAAACATCTGGACCTGCATATATCCATCATGTCCACACCAGGAAGGAAAAAGACAGAAGATAAAGCTGAAATACTATCCCACTTTAACAGCATCACCAGAAAAACAAACTCCGCCTGATGACATACACATATCAATACCAATAACTTAACTTGTAGTACCTCTTAGAGCACCCTCAATTATTAAAATTACAGGTGTTGTGGTGGACTTCCTTTTCTAACAGTTGACTACAGTTGTTTCCAGGTGATTTCTCAAGACAGTTATTGATGATTTTTCTATGATTTTCCAGGTACTTCAGAGGAGGAATCGGTCTGTAGTTTAGTGGGACGGCAGGGTTCTTTCCTTATTTTGGTGCTAGGGTAATAAATGACCTCTTTAATTAGTTAGAGTAACCAAAGCCAGAGCAAGCGTTCATTATGGTTAAGCTCTCATAGCCGAGATTATTAATGTGGCTGAGGATCTCCTTAGTGATACCCAATATCCAGGGCTTTATCTTTGGTATTGGAGATAGCTCTGTTGAGTTCTTCCGAGGTGATTGGTTTAGTCAGTGGGCTGTCACTCTCAGATCTCCATATGATTTCAGGGGAAGGCTGAGTGCGGTGCAAGCCCCAGAGTTCATCAAGACGACTCCTCAGAGTACCATCAAATCCCCTGTTTCTTCATTTATGATTCAGGAAGATTTTCTCCATATAATATGGGTCTCTTTGTCTTGGTCGTCATATTTTTACTTCCTGCTTGGTCAGTTATATACATGATGACTCGTTACAACTACAACCTTTCAGTCTCTTAACTCGACATAGAACTCTCTGGATCATTGTATGTATGTGAGAGTTATTCATACTTCGGCCCATTAGTTTGCTTTGTTCAGAGATCATTTTTTATTTCCTCCATATTCTTCTGTATGTATTATGGCTTACGATGTCCCAACCATGGGTCTCAGTTTCTCTATTATAACAGATTGAAAATTTCTTGTGAGGCTATGAGTTCTGGAGTCTGTTGATGGGTGTAGGAGAGTTCTATTTGCTTTTTGAGGCATGGCCTCTGTTAGGCTGTTCCTCTGAAAGCACCACCATGTGTTGATTTCTTCGTCTAATATGTTCACCGACCTTGATTGTCCTATGGTCTACCCAGGATTATCATGTCCTTGGCCTCAAGTCCAGCTCCAACTTTTCGTTAAACAGTTCCCAGTCAGTCTGCTTGGCGATCACACCTCCGTGGTGGAGCTAGTATAGTTATTGAATTATTTATGAGACAGTTCATGATCATCGCCAGTAGGTGGTCACTGGAATTTACAGGAAGCCTAACATTCAAAGATAGTTGTAAGCATCGACGTTTGTTATTACTGTATCTGGAGTAGTGGCTGAGTTCCTACTGCAGAACGTAGAACTCCCTCACCTCACCATGCACCCCTCCCGCCTCCTCCTCTCTCCTCCACCCTGACACCCATACCTCTCTCCCTCCCCCACGCCATCCTCCTTCCTTTCTCCTCCCCATCACCTCCTTGTTCCCTCATCCTCCCCACAGCTCCACACCCTCCCTCGATCCTCCTCCTCCCCACGGCTACCCTCCCTCCCTCCCCCCAACTTCTCCCTCCCTCCCTCCCCACGCCCTCCACCCCGTCCCCATCCTGCCACCACCCGTCCCCACCCGCGCCCTGTACCGTCCCCACCCAGCACCTGTACCGTCCCCCACCCCGCATATACAACACCGTCCCCCACCCCCTTGCCACCAATTTCACACACACCACCCCTTGCCTAACACCATCCCCACCCTTTCCTGTACCGTCCCCCCACCCTTGCCCTATGCCCATCCCCCACCGCATACAACACCCGTCCCCCACCCCCTTTCCCCAGCACCCATCCCCCCGCACCCTTTTCCCGTCCCACCGCGCCACCAACCCACGCCACCCCGCGCCACAACACCGTCACCCCTGCACCACAACACCGTCCCAGCAATAGCTTCTAG